CTCTCTGTTTAGAATCTGAGACAGTTTTCTTAAAACAAAAGTATCATAACATTTTACCTGGATTCCTTCCTACAATCTCTCAAATTTGCTCCCCCGCATGAAAAGCTCAACGAGAAACTTTGAAGAAAACTTAGAGGGCCAAAATCTCAACGGACAATAGTCCCATTGCAGTAACCTGAGTTTACGAGGTAGACAATTCAAGCCTTGTGGAAAGTTCAACTTATCCCTTAAGCACTCGTCAAATATTAAAAATTGAAGATTAGTCATCCCATCAAACACCATTTCTTTTATAACTAATTCATCCTCAATCTTAGAGACGTTGAGCATTATGCCTAGAATAGTGCCAGTGCCCTGAGGTGTGTCCAAAACAAGAAAATATAAAGAACGATATTAGAAACGTAATCAGCAGGGACAGAGACAGATGTAAATATACTTACTGTATTGTCGGTGATAACATCAGAAATCTCGTTAACATCAACTAAAAATTGACGTTTCTCAGGCTCTCCAATAGATTGTTTACGGACAATGTCAACGCCCAGTTGTTGCAGCAAAGAATGCATCCTTACGAGACCCATATTTACAGATATGAGAGATTTACGAGTTAAGACTTCAAATCCATGGTTAACGTCCAAACCGCTGTTAGCAAGCCACTGTTTCACATGCTCGACTTGACAACCTTGGAACATACATGCTATGTGGAGAAAGAGAGCTTTATCTTTATCGCTTAGGACATCGTAGCTAAATCTTAGAGTTCTCTCAATTTCACTGATCTCACCGTCAAGGCTAGTCCTTAACCTTGGTAGTGCGTTTGTCCACTCATCCAAAGACATTCCTCGCAAGTAAGATCCCAAAACTCTAAGACCCAGGGGAAGTTCACCTGCAAGTTCTGTAAACTCCCGAGCAAGTTTCTTAAAACCATCATATGGGAACTTTTGACCGAAAGCAGATAGACAGAAGATCTGGAGAGCTTCATCTGTAGCTGGAAGGTCCACCTTGTAAATATGGTTGATCCCATGTGCCTTCAAAAGTCTTTGATCTTGTGTTGTGATGATAATCCTACTTCCATAGCCGAACCACCGAGTTTCTTTCGCCATTGCATTTAGTTGCTCTAATTGATCCACGCCATCAAGAATGACAAGAACTTTGTGGTCCCTAAGCCTCTCTTGCACCGCACCTAAATGACGAATCTCGATATCCTTCTGGCTGAATATTTCAGATAAAAGCCGTCGTTGTAAATTTATCTTCCTTTGCCGTTCACCATTCATGATCTCGGTTGATGCTTCCAGACAACCATCATCATGGCAGGGTCTCAAATAGCTTAGCCTGATATTCTCTATAAACGCAGCAAATTGGAAATCTTCAGAGACTTGGTCGTATAAAACTCTTGCAATGGTGGTCTTGCCAATCCCAGGAGGACCCAATATCCCTATCATCCTCACATCACCAGAGTCTAGACATAACAAGGACTTGATCTTTGTGATATGAGGTTGGATTCCAACATAGTCATCAAAATCCCTCGATGGCGTATAGTTCAACACGTCTGATACATCTTTTGCAATTTTAACAATCATGTCCGATTCTCTATCCCTGAGAATCAAA